AAAAAGAAGATAATTGGCTAAACCTAATATTAGAAAAAGTAGGAAATGCTTAGTCCAAACAAGAAAAATAAGAAAAAACCAAATAGTAATAAGAAAATGGTTATACTACAGAATTCTGACATTCAAAATCCTGACATACAAAATCCTGATAAGCAAAATCCTGATATCAAAACCCTGATACTACCAAAATACTTATAGTAGTACTATTAAGATTTTGGCAGTGTTGGGACTTTGTTGTCAGGATTTTGTTTGTTAGGATTTTGTATGTTGGGATTTTAAATTTCAGGATTCTGTAATATAATCTAAAAAAATATAATTATGAAAGATATATAAATATGGACTGTATCATGGTCTAAGACCTCTCAGCAGATATAAAAATACAAGAAGTTAAATATATATGCAAAAAATTAGAGAAGATAGAAGATATGTATATTAAGTACAGAAATAATAAAGCTTTTGTAGTAATAAAATTCTGTACAAAAATAAAAAATGAAAACATATCTTAAGTACTCTTAATAGAAAATAAAAGACTAGCTCGAGTTTTTATAAAAAAAGAAGATTATAAAAAAAAGAATTAGAAACACAAGTTTGTAGCAAAGCTAGTTGGAATTACAGAAAGCCTCTTAGAAACATTATTTCTTAAATACTTGAAAGCAAAAATAGTATATATTTTTAAAAAGAAGAACAGACTTATTATGAAGCAAATTGCAAAAATAACTTTGCTATTGAATTAGAAATAAAAGAAGCACAGAGAAAGTTAATAAGATATAACAATCTGTAACTTACTAATTACAAACCAAACAAAGAGAAAAATTAAAGACAGAAAGCTTATTAAAGAGACAGGAGCAGTGAAGTGATATTTAAAAAAAAAAAAGTAAAACAAATGATGATGAAGAAGAACTATCTAGAAGGAAAAAATTCAATAAGAAAATATTAGTATATAAAGAAGAAAAAAGTCTTAATTTAAATAAAAGTAGCAATAATAAAGAATATAAAGGAAAATAAAGAAGTAAAGGAAGTTATTATAGCAACAAACAAGAAACAGCAAGAAACCCAAGTTGTGTAGATATATTGAATAGTAAAAGTTTAACAGCAAGTATAGAAGAATACTATATGATGCTTTAAAAAATTATACAACATTTAGAGAGACTAAATGAGCAACTAATAGCTGCTTAACATTCCTAAAAGTAGAAACACCAGTTGAACTAATAGAAGTAGATGAAGAATCCTAACCCTTTCTATAGACAAATACAGGAAAAACTATTAATCAAGAAGAGATGACTCTTTACTTAACAAAAAATGTATATACAGTAATAGAAAGAGTAAAATAGTTGAAAAAAAAATAAAAAACAATTGGAGCAGAAGTAATTTAAGCAAAGAACATTTAACCAATTAAGAAAGCTTAATATTGCAACCCACAATATTAATAATATAAAGAGCAATACTCATAAGCTTGAGTTTGCTTATAATAGACATTAAACAACAAAATATACATATTAGAGATTGCAGAGTTGAATACTGTCAACTATCGATATAACGGACACCTTTAGACCAGAATCACCAGTTTAATGGATCAATTACAAAGTACAGAATTTTTAATATATAGTTTAAACCGTTATAACGGATTTAATAGTAAAAAAGCCATATTACGTATAACGAAAATCTTTGCCAGCCCATATACCGATTTTAATATAAAATTCTAACCTATATTACGGATTCAATATAATGCAACAACTTACGACCAATCAGAGTGCAAAAAAAATGATTAAATTTTTTTTTTTTTTTTAACTATCGCTACATATCATTATAACGGAATCCAGCCTAACTCTGTTATTAATTCCGTTATATAGGTTATATAGGTATAACGGATATGCTATATAATAGAATTTTTTGGCCAGCCCAGATTTCCGTTATATCGATAGTTGATAGTATTACAAGTATAGAAGGAAACTGGCTATTAAAAAAACAAACTTCTAAATAAGTTCAAACTAAAATAAAAAGAAAGGTTCTGGATTTGATCTATTAATAAACAATCAATAGGCAAAATATATAGGAACATTAATAAAATACTGTATATCTTTATTAGCAATTTTAAAAAATAGTAACTACATAGTAACTATATAGAAATACTACTATTTATATAAATACAAATAAAATTAAAAATTACATGTAAAAGCTTAGACATATTTATCTGCAACCTAAACCTACTAGAGTGGTTAAAACTCATCTAAATTTATTTATTTATAAGCAAAGCTTCACCTTAATACAAAAAAAAAAATTTTTTTATTTAACTAATTAGATTACATAAATAAATTTTATATCATTTTAACTAATAAAAACATGGATAATAAACTTTAAGCACTTTGGCATGCTAAAAACATGCCTATAACCATTATTCAAGGTTCCTTATTAGGAATAAATCGAAACAGAGCAAAATGAACCAGACTAGGCTGTTAATATCTCTAAGGAAGTCGATTTATTAACACCATGAAGTTGCAACTTTAGACGACTGTCAACTTCATGCATGACACTTTTAACAATGTTTACAGTTATCTAGATTGTCAATTGTCTGCAATTGTAAACTTCAAATTCTGTTAAATTATATAATCAAGGTTAAAACTAAATTTGGTCAATATGTCATCGCCAGTTTACATTACAAAAATCAGCATTGTAATTATTACTGGCTGATTTTTGAAAGTCGGAACTTTATTTGACTGATAAAAGGAATTAATACAATTTTTCGGATAGCTTCAAATTTTGCAAAATTTTTTTTTTTGATAATTTCTGTAAAACTCAAATTTTCATTATCACCATTCTCTTTTAGGCTTGAATCAAATGTTTTTATCTGTAATTGAATTTGAGAATTTTTTTTTTAAACTAAAAAAATATAATAAAAAATAAACAATCGTGATACATACGTGAATTGTTGGAGGTAGTTCTTGTAACGATGTGGTAGGGTAGTTTTTTATCACGGTTTGTTTGTTTAAAGGATGGCAGTCCAGACTTCTGATATGCATTACGAAAAGCATTACCAACAGCCGTATTCCAGTCTGAATCAACGTCTTCAGTATATACACCATTGCCAATGTGAACCTTGGCATGATTTATTCCATTAACTTTCGTACAATAATATTGGGGAATAGAGCGATAGTGTGCCAATGTCCATCTGAAAAATAACTCAGGAGCGGTGCCAGTTAATGTTGCGTGTTCATCCGATAATGTATACACATCAAACTTGAAACATTCATAAATTTCTGTAAGGTTTAATTTTTCACCAGTTGTAAACCTAGAAATTTCAGATACTGATTTTTTAAGAAGGTTGAGTAATAACTGTTTTATAAGCATGTGTGCTTCGTTGTGGCCAGCTATCATATAATATCCACCAACAAATGCTCTGACATAATTGGCATGTTTTGATTCATTTTCATCAATTAATAAGGTAAATTTATCTTGAAGATTTAGTGACTTCGCAAGCATACCGAGAATTAGATCCGACACACAATATTGAATTATGGGGCGAAAAAGTTCTACATCAGCATTTCTCGGTAAGATTTTTTCAGTCTCCAACGTTGCGTAGAATTGAATTAAAATGTCTCCACAACGAACCAATTCCATAAACTTTTGTAAATTTGGATAAAGGTTTTCTTTAGCATAATCCTCGGAAACATTAGGCATACGTCGATCTTTAGTCGATAAATTCAGCGAAAAATAAATTGATATTTAATTATCTCAAAAAGTACGTATATAGAAAATCAAAAATTATATCAATAGAATAGTAGATACCATTGTAATTAGGTATCATAGTCGAGATATTTGTACAATATTCTGCGCCATCAATAGAGGAATCATCAATTCTAGGTTGTTGACTAGCAGTTTTTTGCTTTTCTTTATAAGTTTCAAGAGTTTTTGAAGTACTTTTAGCACTAGTATTAAGGTTTATTGCATATGAATTTTGATTTGCACTTTTATCTTCAGGAGAATTTGTTTGTGCACGGTCCAAGGGCCGTTTCCAGACGATAACACGATCATCCCTATCCTCATGAATGCCGGAAACATCTGTTGTCATCAAATTATTATTTCTTTTTTCAGAAATTGGATTTAATGAATCAACATTCTTGTTTTTTAGCTTAAAATGATTTATATCATCATCAATAACGATGGAACCTGAGATACTAGAGAGATTATACATGTCTCTATTTAAATTTGTGACACTATTTTTACCCACACATTTTATCATGTCAGAGTTGTCCACGGTCGTCTGAATGCTGTAAGTTGAAGTGGATTCAAGTGCATCATTTTTAGTTTGATCCCGAATAAAAGTAGCAGTGGATCCAAAATTATGTTGCTGGAATAAGCCAGTCATTTGTTGTCTGGTCAATTTAGTTTGCATTTGTTTTTTCTGATCTTGATGTAAACCGACTATAATTTGTTTGCTTGAGCACTCAGCACTTTGGCTTATATCGGAAGGAAATGCAGCTGCAAGAAAGCATGATAAAAGTAGATCCATCTTCCGTTTATTGAGACAAGATCGAATTTCTGAAAAATCATCTGGGGAACGATTACAGATATCGAGACATTTTTGAAAAATACTGAGAGAGTCGCCCTCAACACCATTCATAAACAATGATAACCATGTTGTTGATTCAAATCTGGATAATTCTTCACATGAAATCACACCAAAATCCTCTCCCGTAATTTCTTTAAATAACGAAGTAAAATTCATCGATATTTGTCAATAACTTCAATGCTTCGTACCACAAAATAATTTGTCGATTACAAATTCATATAGCCTATTTAACAGCGTAAATTTTAAAGTTTTCACGAAGAATTAACAGTTCTTTACTGGCTAAAGAATAACAGGTGCAATATGCTATAATACTTTCTGAAAGTGTATGTGTTTAAAATATAATTCAACGTAAAGCGCATATGGGTAAATCATCGAATTGGACTCTAGGCAGGGGTATTTATTTATCGTTTTTAATTGGCAGATTAGCCGCGCGACCAAAATTCTAGTATGTACTCCCATAAGATAACGTGTAATTCATGGCGTAACTCTTCTATAGCAAAAACATGTCTTTTCATAAGCATTCTATATTAAACTAATCTATATAGCACTTAAAAATATTTCGAATTCAACCATAATAATATTTACTCATGAGATTCTATTCGTTTTTATTATTACAGTTTTCCTTCTCTATAATCGTCTCCTTTATAATCACAACTCCTATATAATCACATAAAATTTTTTATTTCCAGAGCTGTTAATGGCTTGAGCGGCTTGACTTGGCTTTTAAAAGCCGTGGCCAAGCTATAGATCAAGCCATAGCTCAAACCATGGCTCGTAACATCCTAATAGCATCAGCATATATAATAGAGTTATATATAAATGTGAAGAGCTCTTTAGTAAATCGGCAGTAGACTTTTTTGAAAATGCTGCGTAATAGGTTTATTTACATGTTGAGTATAAATACTAGTTCCGCTAAAGTAAAAAAAATGATTCTTATTCATCTAAACAAAAGTTTACATTGTGCCTTCAAAACTTAGTTTGTAATAATAAAATTTTGGTTCGTAAAAAATAATTATTAATCGGATTAAAAATATTATTATTGTTATCATTGTTTTCCTCTTGATTTTCTCTAATAGGTATTTGTTGTTTTCTAGCTTGTGGTTCATTATCTCCATCAGGTACTACTAGTTGAGTCATAGTTTCATATCATTTGAGCCAAAAATATTGTTCGAGTTAAAATTAGGCCACACAAATTTAATATATTGGTTTTTATAACATGAAACTTTTAAACAGACCTGGCCGGCCAGCTTTTTTTTTTAAATTTCATATATAAAAATTTATAAAATTTTTTTAAAAATTTTTTAAAATACCCACCCGGTTATTAAAACATACAAAAATTGTTTTTTACAAATTTTCAAACTTTGACCTGGCCGGGTTATGAAAACCAATTAATTAAGTTTGTATGGCCTTATTATCAAGTTAAAATTATTATTGAGTTAAAATTATTATCGAGTCAAAAATATTATTAAGTCAAAAATTATTATTGAGTCAAAATAAATATTGATCGATAAAATTTATTAATCTATTGATTAATAAGTTAAAGTATATAGATATAGTGAATGTAAAATATTAAAAATACAAAATCAAAAATATTATATATGTTTAATCGAATATATATTATACCTAAAAAAAGAAGAAAAAAGAGATGGAGGTTTACTTACAGGTGTATTATAGCAAGTTTTTAATAAACAATGTTGAAAAAAAAGTAGAATATCAATTATAAGAAAAATTTACATAAACAAGTAATAATTTTTTTTTTAAATAGAATATTGCCAAGAAAATAGAGCATTTTAGACTATTAAAATTTTATTAAAAGTAGCTTAATATCTAAAATTTCTTTTACTTTGGCAGATAAACTATAAACTATTTAAATTTTCTAAATAATTCAAATATATTCAAATGACTTAATGTAAATATATCTGTAAGATACATTAAATTTTTTGTATCTATACAATATTATATATAAAAACAGTAATACAAATAATGTTTATATTTAGCAACTCTTCCTAACAATCACTTGTACCAACCTAACACCGAAAGCAAGTTGAAGATTCAAGCCTAAAAGTCAATAACAACTTGAAGTTTCCTTGATATAAACTGTTATCAATGAAGTCTTTAAATGTGATATACCAAGAAGCAGGCATTTTGGATGATTTGCAAAAGGGTCAAACCTGGTTTGCTGCTATCTCTTAGGCGGACTCCTCTTTGCATTTGGCATCCAAACTGGAGGAGTCTCTAGAAACAGCAAGTAAAAAAGAAAACTAATGTTTGTTTAAAGATGAAAGACTTTGAAGAATTCTTGGAACAACACTTTTTGGTTAGAAAACTCGCAGAAACTCAATACTCTCTCATCGTTTTTTGGCTTCAAAATTTTTGGCAAAAAGTGGAGAATTCGGCTTACCTCTCCAAAAGATCAGCATTGTTTATCACTTCTATATCAGAAATTAGATAATAACAAATTGGCATATATTATGAAATGAATAAAATGATAACAACAAGTACATAGAGTTTTAAGTCCTTATACTTTCAAATGAAGATATAGATTTAATTAGAAAAAGTCAAGCATAACAACATATCCTTTATATATAATTTTTAGCTTCTGACATGAGTTATAATGCATCTTGTTTTAGTTTTATGATTTTGTTTTTGTTAAGACTCTTGCATTTAATAGTAGATTATTACTCTGTATAATTAGAAGTTTCGTCTGGTTAGCAGATTTTCTTCTTTTTAGCGATAGTTTCTTTTAGGTTTTAGTTTAATTTTTTATATTTCTTAGTATTAGTATCTGTTTTTTTTGATATATTAGTTTTTATTACATATCTCTTTTTTTCGTTCTTTATTATCTCTTTTTTTTTTTTTCTTCTTTTTTATGAGAAAGTGTCATCAGTTTGGTAATATTCTATTATAGAGCAAAAATCTTGACAGGGTGATATAACAGCTAGCCAAGGAATCTGGTGATAAGTCTAGAGTGAATTCTGGATCTCTGAAGAAGGCCAATTGTTTGCTAGGCAGATCGCATCTAAGCAAAACACAGTGGTTTAATAGTTCACCCTAACTACAAGTAAGTATTTCAGTATCTGCAAAGTATACTGTAAGTGAGTTTACTCTTTAGTTAGAACACTATAAATTTTAGATTTCTTTATATGTCGATATAAGAATAAAAGTCTGTTCTTAGAATAAAGTAAACAGGATTGCTAAAAAAAAAAAAATATTGTTTATATTAATTTAGAGTTAGGATAAAAACTATATTAGAGTTAGTATTTAGGCAGTTATTTAGTAAAATTGCTTAAGAAAAACTTTTTATTAATACACAGAAAGTGGTTTAGTATATAATTTCTTACAAAATTTGCAATTTTTGTCAAAATAATTGTTTGTTTTAAATTTTTTAATTGTATAATATTATATCTGATCTTGAGATCTATATAGATCATATGATGTAGATATATATACCTTAGGGTACATATAAATAAACCCTATTTAAATTATTTAGAATAATTACTAACTTCAAAAATTTTATAGTTTTTAGAAAAATTTAAATTATTGCAGAGTATATTAATTACAAAAATTAAACTTTTATATTTTTAGTATTTGAAGATCTTTTAAATTTTATTAATAACAAAACAATATATGAGGAGAAAATTAAATAGAAATGATCAAATAAAACTATATCATATTTTATATAACTTTTTATTAAAATTTCTAATAATATTGAAGATATTTATATATCACAAATTTTATAAAAAATTTGGCCTTCTGGTGAATTTACTAATAAAAAGGTTGCAGATATAATCGCAGTTTATTAAACTATACTAAATCTAAAATAAAATAATTTAATAATTTCAGAAAGCATTATTAAAAATAAATTAGTAAAAAATTTAGTAAATATTTATTATAAGAAATTTATTTAATATAATTATATATACAGTAGTTTTGGAATAATTAGATTATTATCAATAATTTTTTTTTTTTTTTTTTAATCTTTGGCAACCTTGCTAGTGATCTTTTATTAAGATTATTATATAAATAGATTACATAATGTTGAGCTTAATATCTAGGCCCGACATCCCCCTGCTATCTCGTGGATGCCCAGAAGCGGTCTGCCATACTGATTTGAAATTTGTTTCATAATCAGAAGACTAATACCAGGTTAGCCGCACAAACCATACCAAAAGGGTTTGCAACTATTTTGTATTAATTTTCTAACACTATTAAACCATCTATTTTCTATTCATTTTATACCCTCCTCTTTTTCTTCTTTTAATCTAGTATTCCTTTCTAGTTCATCCACATTAGTTCTCATCTTTAAACCTCTTTTCTGTGTCTTTGTTTCAGCTATACTTGGATCTGACTTCCTTCTTTCTTTCATTGATCTGCTATTATACTTTTCTTTAGTTGTGATACCTTTACTAATTTCCCATCTTCATATTGTCTCACATCTTTTTGTTCATATATTTTCATAAAAGCAGTTCCAAACCGTATTTATAGCAAGTTTGATGTAGGTCTTGGCATCTTTTCCTAATTGTAAAGTTTCTTGTATCTTTTCTGCCTTGTCTTCTTGAATCAAACCTTTGATTGCTTTGGCTCTCGTTTCTAAAGATTCTTCCTTTAACTCTCCCCAGAGAGTTTCTTCGAGTAGATCTTTATTTGTTCTCATTTGGGTTTCCTCTGGAAGGGCTGCCCATGCTATATTTGCTGCTAGTTTTTCTGCAATCTTCTAGCTGATCTCTTGTTCTCTGCAGCTTGCTAGATGATCTTGATCTTCTTCAACTTTTTCATTATATATTATGCAGTTAGGATCTTGATATAGGTCTGGACGCCTTTGTGCTAGTGTTTGGAGTACCGGTAACTTTTCGTTAGCACATTTAATCAGAGCCCCAAGGTGTTTATTTTTCTTCAATGTTGTACATCTAACTTCGCTATTTCTCTTGATTCGCTTCCAA